ATATATATATATATATATATATATATATATATACGTTGACATTTATGTTCACCAAGTTTATTAGATATAATGATATCAGGATGTAAATTATCTCTCTCAAACTTTAAATTTGTACGAGATGATCATATTTTAAATGCTGATTCAGTCAAATCTAATATTAACAGATTTACATTATTGTAATACTATTTTATTGTATTCTTATTCCATTCCATTTTGTGAAGATATTTTAAAATGAGTATCATCCATACCATATCACAGGTGATTTAATAAACCTTATGTTTCACTATTTAACTCTCTATCTAATGGTAATTGATATTATTCTTGAAATTTAAGAATGGCATTGCTACCATCACCATTTTCCTTAAAATCATATACCATTACCATTTTCTGTCAAACTGCTGTTAGAAAACTGACCCGGAACAGATTAATTACCGATGTGACCGCCGTTAAAGATGGCTAACTCACCAACATCCAAAAATCTAGATATAGATTGATTGAGTATAAAAGAGAGGGAGGGAGAGAGAGAGGGAGGGAGGGAGAGAGGGAGGGAGATAGAGAGAGAGGGAGGGAGATAGAGAGGGAGGGAGGGAGAGAGAGGGAGGGAGAGAGAGAGGGAGGGGGGGGAGAGAGGGAGGGAGAGAGAAAACAAAAAAGAACTAGAAAATCAATGAAACGTAAAATAAAGCAGGGTCAAATTCCAATATTCACGAGAAATATCCGAAAGGAAGCGAAATTACCAAAAACCAAGAATCAATAAAATGTAAAACAAAGGAGGGTCAAAATATACAGAGCGGAATATAAAACAACTATGCAGAAACCTGATGGAAACGTAAATGGCGCGTCGTCGAAGTTCGGCGTTGGCGGGAACTCGGGGAGCGAAGTACGCATGCGTGCATTTCTAGTTTGAGTTTAGTGCACGAACTGATTCGGACTGGTTTCAAACTAATCAGCAACCCTGCTGGAACGCCCAACTCCCAGTCACAATCTCTGACTGCTGCTGCTGCTGGAACGCCCAATAATACACAGCGCATGCGCGGTCTAGTTCGGGACTGTTTCGGACTGCTGCTGGTACAAACTTATTATCTCATTTTATCTCCCCTATGGCATTTTCCAGTACTCATACGGGATTCTAAATTGACTTCAATAGTGCCAGAGAAAACTTGATTTTGCAGATAATTATATCTCAATAAATAAATTTCATAGAATAGACAATTTATCATTGACAGCTAATATGTACTCTGAAAACTTTATAACGTATTCATAATTTTTAACTTCTCCATTAATCAAGTCATTCATTGTTAAAAATATTTGTATTATCTAATGAATTATATAAATTCGTTATTTAGTCAGTCCAAGTCAGGTCTGTCAGTCCAAGTCAAGTCCGTCCCCCCCTCTCTCTCACTCACTCACTCACTCTCTATTACATATAAATATATATATATATATATATAATAATATATTATATATATATATATATATATAATATATATCATGTATTCCTATGGTCTTATGCAATGTCCACATCTGAATACCTAAATAATTCCACTACCAAAAATACTCTACACAAAATGCTTTTTATATTTTCTTATGCTATTCTGACCGTTTTCTTAACCTGTATACTAACCTTCAGGCCAATTCTTACGTTTGGCACAGTTCAAATGAAATCCTTTTGGACAGGTTTTATTATCACACAACAATAGTTCTCCTCCACCACCACATTCAAAGCACTCTGCTTCTGTCAATTTTATATATTGGCGTTTCTTTTTTCTTTTTGCAGACTTTTGATTATCTTGCCGTCCTAATTTAGCTTTTCTGTCATCTTCAACTAGCTGAAATACAAAACAACTAGTTTCATCCATTCTTATTACAATTCCTCACATTTTGTATCAACTAAAATACAATCATTGACAAAGGACCATTTATTAATAATTAAAATTAGGTAAAAGACTCACCTTGGAGACCTTAACACCTATGTAACCACTGCAGTTTGGAGCTCCGCACATGCATGGTTTTTTATCAGGACCAACACATTCCAAATTATAATTGAAGGTCAGTTCTTCGCCCTTAGGGATGTCTTGTAAAGCAAAAAGTCCAACTCGTGTGTCTCCATTCACTGTCCATTTTTGGGTCTCACAATTAGGTTGACATGAATGATTCATAAACCTTTAAAAAAATTGAAGGTTAAGATAACTGAATTAAAAAAGTGATGAAATCAGATTTCAGAAGCCACAATAATGAATATTAAGTCAATTACAAACTCATTTCCTCCAACAAAACACTATTTTAGTACTTTCATAAATCCATTTCATTCCTAAAAAAATCTAAGTTCATCAGGAGAGTTAATTTATAAACTCGTTCACTGTCCATGTATAAAGTGGAAGATGCAAATCTGACTTGTAAAAAGATCACTGGAAGGACATCTCTCATAAACACACAAATGTTGATTATACTTCTGATTAGATTGTTCATAACTATAAGGTACATCTAAGCAGTTGAAGGTTTTTGTGTATGGTTATATCTTTCTGAAATTTAAAATTTACGTTTCCTAACAATATACTGAATCTGAGATAGGAAATGATTTGCCTATTATGCGTAAGTTAAGAGGTTTTGGGCTCATGTATACGATATTTATTTGCATATTTTCCAAACTTTCGCCTAAAAGAATAATGTCTTATAAACTTCTAATATATTCAAATAAAATTACACAATAACTTTTACTTCAATGCCAGTAGCGTAAAATTTATTAAAGTATTGAGTAAATGTTAAGATTGGTGTTTTCATAACAGAATGTTTCTTGATGTCCAAATAAAGTCTGCTGAATTATTTAAACTGTCTAATACAATTTAGCCCAGGTAACATTGAATGCGTAATCAATGTTGGTCTAATTAAAATACATATTACACTCTCACATACTTCTTACCGGTATACAAGAATGTATGTAATGCTGCAAACAAAAAGCATTTCCAACAGAAAAATGTTTTATTGTAGGTCCTTGATACCAAAAACTTGAATAATTTGCATTTCTATACGTGGTAAATTACTTTCACTAACTCTAGTCAAAACCCATGTTTTGTGGGTCCTAGATATCAAACAATTGTTTCTAGCAAAAGTAGAGAGAGAGAGGAGAGAGAAGAGAGAGAAGAGGGAGCAGAGAGAGAAGAGGGAGCAGGAAGAAAGAGGGAGCAGATGACAGAAGAGGGACAGAGAGAGAAGAGGGAGCAGAGATGAGAAGAGGGAGCAGACGATGAGAAGACGGGGCAGAGAGAGAAGAGGAGCAGAGAGAGAAGAGGAGCAGAGAGAGAGAGGGAGCAGAGATAGAAGAGGGAGCAGAGAAGAGGAGAGAGGGAGCAGAGAGAGAAGAGGGAGCAGAGAGAGAAGAGGGAGAAAAGGGAGAAGAGAGAGAAGAGGGAGGGGAGAGAGAAGAGGGAGGAGAGAGGAGAGAGAGGAGAGAGGAGAGAGAGGAGAGGGAGGAGAGAGGAGAGAGGAGAGAGAGGAGAGAAGAGAAGAGAAGAGAGGAGAGGAGAGGAGAGGAGAGAGGCGGAACTGAGTTGGAAGAATGATAATGACGGTCCTTCAGTGCATCTTCAACCTTAGTCATTGCAAGGCCTCAGCCAGATGGAGCGCGAGTAGACGTTGCGATCCTGTGCGATGAGTATAGGAATATAACCGGCCTTCAATGGGTTTCGGATGCGACTAACCGAGCTGCGATGTGGATTTGTGGTAATAGTCCAGTAGATGTTATGTTACTCCCAGGCGTAGGATTCACCTAGATAAATGGGTTCGGTAAATATTTTTAGAGTTTATGTCGCCGCAGTGCATGGCTTGATGAGGCATTACTCTATAGATTATTGGATAATGCGAGAGAACGAAGGCGTCTTATTATTGCTGGGGATTTCAATGCATGGACCACTGAGTGGGGCAGCAGGGTAAGGAACCAACGTGGGATGGGCTCTCCTGGGCAACCTCGCCCGGTTAGACGTCTACGTGTGCAACACGAGTAAAAACCCGACCTTAGCCATAAATGGTCATAGCTCCATCGTTGACTTGACATTCGCGTGTAGTAGTCTTGATAGATGAATTGAGGCGTCGGAGGTTAGCGATTATACCCATTGGTGGACTGACGAGATCGCGGAACTTCGCAGAAAATGCCACCGCACTCGTAGTTTCGCGCAACGCGGATGAGGTCGCCCAAATTATGACACTCTCAAGGAGACACATGGCCGCCAGAAGTGCTTTCACAAAAGCAATTAAGATCAGCAAGGTGGATGTTGACCCCTGGGGTCGTACGTATAAGGTGGTAACTGCCAGGCTCAAGACTTTAGGCCACCCCCGATTTGCCCGGTCGTATTGGAGAAGATAGTTGCTTCTTTGTTTCCTCACCAGATGGATGTTTTGCAGCTTATGGATCCGCTTCAAGATCTACACGGGGTTTCGTCGGTTTTATTAGACGAATTGTGAAGGGCTTGCTATCGTTCAAGACTGTAAAGCCCTCTGGTTTGGATAGGGCGCATGAATGTTGCTATCAAGACCGCTATTAAAACTCCGCCAGATCTACTCTTAGAGGCACAAAATGCGTGCGCGCGAGGGGAATTTCCACGATCGTTGGAAGCAACGACTGGCCCTCCTTCCGAACGGCGATAAGCCACCTAGCTACACGTCAGCATATCAACCCATGTTTACTGAATATTGTAGGCAAGGTTTCAGAGCAGATCATCTGCAAACGGATTGAAGCCTATACGGGGGGACCACAGTGTCTGTCCGATAATCAATATGGCTTCAGGAAGGCTAGATTCCCAGTGAACTCATTTAGGCCCGTCACCAACATCGCACGCAAGGCTTTCAAGCGATGGAAAAGAGGCGCAAAGAAGTATTGCGCTATTATTACCCTCGACGTCAAGAGCGCATTTAATACGGCTAGGTGAAGTTCCGTACTTGCTGCGTTAAAAAAAGGGGGAGTTCCGAATTACATTACGAAAACAGCCAGAAGGTATTTGAGGAAAGAATTTTACTGTATGAAACAGAGACCGGATTAAAGTCCTTTTGTATCGGATGGTATTCCGGCTGGTACTTGACCCGCTGTTGTGGAATATTATTTATGACTCCGTTTTGAAGCTCCAGCTGCCGAAAGGCTCTATGACTATTGGATTTGTTGACGATGCTGCGGTGGTAGTGGCCGGCAAATATACTGAAGAGGACGTGCAAGTTGCCAACGAGGCTCTGGCTGCGATCCGGCGGTGGGGCATCAGATGGCCGAACATTAAACAGAGGCTTTCATGGTGACCGGCAGAAAAGTGAAAGAGTATTACTCTCAATGTAGGGAGTAGTAAAATAGCCTCCAACAGTTCATAATAATACTTAGGCGTCAGATGTCAGTCCATAATAATACTTAGGCGTGACTCGAGACTGCACTTGTGTATAGTCTGCGAGAAAGCGTCTCACATGGCCTCCTCCTTGGCACGAATTATGCCCAACGGAGGTCCCAGGCCGGGGGCTAGTGTCTAGTGCGGTTAACTCTATTCTGCTCTACTTAGTCCTCATTTGGTTTGACGCCTTCGGGATCTGGTCGTACGCCCGCGGTGCAAAATCAGTGTATTGAAGGTCCGCCTTGAGACTGGCCCGAGCGTTTCACACGGTTTGGTATGACGCTGTGCGATAGCTGAAATTGCCCCTATAAACCTCATGGCACAAAAAGGGACAGGCTCAACAGACGTTAGCGAGAGGGAGCGACATTATGGAGGAAAAAATGCCCCAGTGGCAACAGCGATGGGTTCAATCATACACTGGTAGACGGTAATTTCGTCTTATTCCTGTCATAACGAAGTGGTGTGGGTCGTTATTTGACCCAGAGATGTGGGTCGTTATTTGACCCAGTTGTTAACGGAGCATGGATGTTACCGGGCATACCAACTCCGTTTCCGGTCGGGCGATGACTTCTCATACCCAACCTGTGACCCACTGGTTGAAGACGCGAAGCACTGTCCATGCTTCGTTGAGGAGAGAAGAACTCCGACGACTCGTGCAAGTAGTGACCCACGAAACCAACTTCACTAGGATGCTGGTGTCCCAAGAGAATCAGAGTGCGGTAGCCACCTATGCCGCAACTTTTACAACCTTTCGACATTTAAGAATTAATTTCGGGAAGTACACTGTACTCAAAATACTGTAAATATATAATAATTTTGTATTATAATTTCACGTATTGTCAATTGCAGTAAATTAATAATTGACATCCATACAAATCTCTGAATATATATGATTGTGCAACCCCATAACACCACCGTCTCATGTGTGAACACTACGGAGGCAGCGAGGATAACAGACTCGTAAGGCAGAGGTACTTAAACGCGCGGCCTGGTATCCGTTGCCCGTACTAAACGAAAGCAAACTAGCAAGCAATATTTTCCTTGTGAAGGGTTGAGAGAGGGGAAGCAGCCCCACCACTGAGAATTTCCCCAGGCGCCGCGCGATAAATACGCGAACCCGCAAGCGGAAGCTCTCTTTTTCTTGCCACCACGCGTTGAGTAAGCAGCTCTGTTACCACCGACCGTCGAGTAAGAAGCCCTTTTTACCACCGATAGCCGAGTCAACACTTTCGTTTAACATTATTTTAGATATTGTTTGCCGCTGCAACGACTACTAGGTAGGAGTATTCGGCGTCGAACAGACGTTCTAGTCAGTCGTCCGCGAGATAGTGCAGATTAAGTAGTGTTTCTTCAATTAACAACACGGGAAGTAAAAGTTGCCCGTTGTGAGAGAAGCATTGAAAGTTCTGGCTTGTCAAAGTAGAAGTAGCAACGAGCGAGGAACTTGCACGAGTATTCAGTGAAGTGCAAGGGACATTTTCGGAACGTGGGCGTAGTCAGAGGCGCCGGTAGCAGACGAGGTGGAAGATAACGGACGGACCCAGGCGCAAGAGGAAGAAGACGGAACAGTTGGGAGGAAGAACGGAAGAGGACGCAAGAAGGCAACGCAGACGGCAGAGGCGAATCCCGTCTCTCACGACGCAGAAGCGGGGACCGAACGGCGTCGAGGTGCATGCGACCAGCGCACGACCATCAAGGCCAAAAGTGGGACTTCCACGATGTAACATTTACGGCGCGGAAAATAGGTCAAGTTCACGTCGGCAGGGAAAAACTAGTATAGGAAAGTGTTAAGAATTTGAGGACACGGGTGGCAACAAATTGCAGTATTATAGTAGGAGACCTTTTGATGCGCTATTGCCTGCAAAAACATTCTACGTAGGACATTTATTATTCTGCTCTTTCAGACACAGTTAAATTGTAAATGAGAGTGGTGTATTTGCACACATTCTGTTCTTTACATGTGATATTTTGAAGCAGGAGATTGTAAATTGAATTTTGGTTTCATGTGCAATGTAATTAGAATAGCACAAATTTAGGTATAATTAATTTTCCAAGGGAATTCCCAGTGTAGTTTAGGGTAATTATGTCAGAGTATCAATTTTGAAGTAAATTATGTGTTATATATATATGACACACACACACACACATATATACATGAATTATAACCACGTGTATAAATATTTTCAAATATAAAATGATAAAAATGTCTAACACAAAGAAGTGGAATTTTCTTTAAAAACGAGTGATTTTTCAAACATATCATCAGACAATAAATTCATAGCTAGCAAATGTATAAAACATGCAAAGGAAAACAGTCTTTCAACTTGCATAGATGAACATGTGAATGTATTTAAAATATGTATTTCATGTATAAGTATTTAACTACCGCCCAACCCTACTCATTACAAATTGTACATTTGGTGCAAAACTAAAATCAACACAAATTTGACAATTATAACTGTTTTTCATACAGGTAAATGATGCCCCAATAATAAGACGTAATTCACAATATTTTAAAATTATTCTTGCTTGACCTGTGGCCCTCAGCAATCGTGAACGACTGATACAGTAATTGATTTTTTTTATACAGCAAGTTTACAAGATATATATTTTTATATAGTGGTTATTTCATTTCAGATGCACTTTATATTATATGGAGAGGCTAATTGTTTCCAGTCTGCTTAAGGAGGGTCAAAATTATCTCGGTAATTTCCTTTTCAAACGTTTCCGATGGGTGTTCTTATCCCGTAGTCTGAAATAGGTAGCTGAAGGTATTAAAAAATTTTGTTATAAAATTGTGCGGACAGATGGAAGGAATGTACAGTGATGGGGATGATACAGAGTTCTTGATGGAGTTGAGAATTATGGATAAGCCAGGGTTCTTTTGGAATTCTTAGGAATTTATTTAGGAAGGTTTCGATTTTGTGAATATTGGTTTTGGATGCTGCAGACCAGACTGCAGATGCATAATATAATATAGGTTGTATCATTTTTTGGTAAAGATGAATGGATGTGTGTAACTGAAGTGGGGATGATTTCTTAAATAAGGGATATAACTGGTGTGTTCTTGTGGTGGCTGAAGCAATGATAATTAATTTCCATAATTCACAAAAATTAGTTAGTTTTCAGTCATTGCAGCATTCCAACCTGATATTCCCAGAAAGCTAGTAGTATTTCAAATATGTTTAAAATAATTTCGAAAATATTAGCATGTAAATGTATTACAAAATGTCTAAAGGAAGAAATGAACAGATATGTGAAATATAAAAATTCTAATTTACAAAGCATCCAGATGTCAGGAATTACAACAATGAAGTGCAGTAAATTCAAACCGGCCGTTATTTTTGTCTCCAAATTATCCCAAAAATACTCGTATTATCAAAAAATTGAACATGATTTGATTTGAAGATTTGTTTTTTATCAACACTTTTCGTAAGAAAAGAATTGTATCACATTTATAATGGAAAGAAGAAACCAATTTTTATTCTTCGCAAAATCAGGCATTTTAACGAACACGAGACCAGCACCATTTTCTTAGGCGTTCTTTGTGCTATCTAAGGTTTCAATATAATAAAAAAAGTGCGGTTTTAAAGAAAATAAAAAATGCCTACTTTTGACACAAACTTTTTCAAAAAGTACAAACGTTTTTGAAAAATCGAAAATGACCTAAGATGATATGAGAACATGCGGATGCCGAAACAATTTTGAATTTTTTCAATTTTCGAAAAATCAGTTATCCACCATGTGATCCCCGCCATTTTCTTAAACGTGCTTCAAACTATTCAATACAAAAAACACGTTTAATAAAAATCTATGAAGCCGTTTTTGAGAAAAAATGTGTTTAATTAACATTAAAAATTGCCTGTATTTCACGCTATGTTACAAAAATACTCAAATTTACGAAAAATTATACCTGACCATATTTCAAAATCTCTTTAAGGAACAGATTCCATAAGGGAAAAATCTCTATCTTTAATATTCTAGTTGTAAGAAGGCACCGAAACAAAAATTGAATGGCATTTTCAAAAAATCCGAGTTTTTAACGAAAAATATTTTGCAACTTTTCTTGAACGATGACTTTGCTTCCTCCTCTCTGACACAAGCAGTTGAAGACATAAGTTCGCAGCGAGCACTGATGACAACATTCCAAACACTTCACTGGCACGAAATAGAAACTATTTTCTGTTGAAGACGGAAACTACCGACAGTGATTTTTCCCAAAAGATCTTCAGAATTGTCCGTAGCAGGTGAAGATCCATTAAAGGAGATGCCTCGAACTCATGAGAAAGTTAGAACGCAAATAATTGAGAAAGTAGCGAAGGCATGACTGATTCTCTAGATATTGGCATTGCTTCATAAAATCTAGTGGCTGATTTCTTAACTAATACCCCCATTCTACCTGCATTACTTAAAGTTGCGCAAGTAATACCTGCAGCATTCTCTGAAACATCCCTTACATTATCAACAAAATAAACAGCATTTAATTAAAATAGACTGCGACAATTTCTTTTTTAAAAATATCCCAGGGGCTTCATGCAAAGTGCACCCCCTAAAAAAAATTAAAATATCGATTACAAATTCAAGGGCCACGACACCAGCCAGATCGATCGAGAAACATCAATTTTGGAGAAAATCGGCTGAATGGTTTAGCCGCTAGTGCTGTTCACATACAGACAGACGTTTTGCTGTCCATCAATTTTTCGGTACCAAGGACTCACGAAACATGGATTCTGGCTACACCACGTGCTACAAGATTTTTTCCCTATATTTTTCAACTGAATATTCATTATTTCATTTTCAGGGCCATATATAAAGAGTATTCTGCCGAAAATTTGCCGTTTTTTCGCGCAGCATTACATAACTTTCTCTTCTTACGTTCTTGCTTAAGCACGAGGAAAAAATAAATAAATAAATAAATAATTTGTATTAGTTGTTTTTTATATAAATCTCCTCAGATCAAATTTAAGAGGTGCTTTGGATAAACTAGAAATAACACCAAATATTGTCTTCAATCCCAGAAACTTATAGGTAAAGGGTAAGGAAAAATTGGGTAAAACTTGAAGTTCGTAAAAATTTAAGCAAACCACTCACCTGGCAACATTTCCTTTTGGACCAGCATCTAACAACCTATGATTGTCAATTGTGAGAAAATAATAATTCTCATCCTTCTCTTTATGTTTGTCATCTAAACGTCGTCTATATTCAGCCTCGTCAATCATTTCACCAACATACTCAATGACAAATTCACCTAAAAAAACAAACCAATTTTTAATAGTTTGAGTAAATAATAATAATAATCATAATAATAATAATAATAATAATAATAATAATATTTTATTCAGTCATATATACAATTACAATCGTGAATGATAAGTCAAATATGAGTATGTGGAGGGAGTACAATTGCACACATCTTCTGGGGTGCAGAGAGAAGTTACATTTACAGTCCAGAAGCAAAACAAGGGACCATCTCAGCATTTGCTAAAAGGACCAGGAAAACTGGACAAAAAACCTGATTGAGATTTGGTCATTGGCCTAGAAATTATTTATATTTGTTACAGATAAAGATATTATACAGTAAATAATTGTTTTTAATAGTAATATAATTTAACATTTCAAGATTTGTTTGGTTTCGTTTTTAAAATAAAATTAACTTGGTATAATCATTGGATCCTTTGTGAGTAAATTGAGGCATTCCACAGGAAAAGAGCTCGTATTATTTTCATTCCAACTTTAAAAAATATTTTTGAACAATTGAAGTCAAGGCACATGTACACACATTATTGATTTCTAAACTAAATTGTTGAGGAATAGATACACATGTTTTCCATAAACTACCTCAATTTGTCACAAACTGAAAAAATATGTAGTATAAACTGTCAAAATATGTACATACAAATGTACTAGGAAAGTTTTGCAATACAGCTTTATTTATTTAATGTTTTCAAAGTAATTTCCGCCACATTCAATGCACCTTTCTATCCTCCGAAACCAATCCGTAAACCAGTTGTGCTAAGTTTCACTACGGAGTAAGGCACAATCGTCTCAAGCCCTCAGAAGGTCCTCATCACTGGAAAACCGCATTCCTTTCAGCTTCATTTTCACATGCGGGAACAGCGGAAAGTCACAAGGAGCGAGGTCTGGACTGTAAGGAGGGTGCTCAAGAAGTTAGTCCTGTAGTGGTCAAATATTCCGTCAGGCTTTGGCTTTGAGCTGGAGTGTTGTCATGATGGAGGAACCAAGTGTCAATTCTTGAATTTGGCCGAAGGTTCTTCAACGACTGAATGGCCTTTGTCAGGCACTGTTCAGCGTACCACTTAGCTGTGATCGTCTTCTGTGACTAAAAAACAACACGCACCACAATTCCACTCGATTTGATAAATACGGCTATCATTTTCTTCTTTACAGATCGTGAATTTCGGACAGCGAAGGGTGACTCATCTTCAAAATCCAAACTGTTTTGAGTCTTGATAGGCACGTCATACAGCCAAGTCTTGTCACCTGTCACGATGCTGTTTACATACCGAGATTGACCCTTAGAAAACCTTTTTAGCATCTCCCGGCACCAAGTCACACCTCATGTCATCTGCTCTTCAGTCGGTGTGCGAGTCACCCAGAGAAAACATAGTTTCTTCACTTTCAAATGATCATGCAGAATCGAAAGAATTGCTGGTGCATTAAGGTCTAAGGTATCCTCTATCTCTTTGTAGGTCACTCGTCTGTCTTCGACAAGCATTTTCCTCACAACAGCAGTTTTCCTCCGTAACTAATATTCGTGGCCTGCCCGCTCTCTCAGCATCCTCCAAATTGAAATTTTCCCTTTGGAATTCTCTGTACCACCTGAATATTGTAGTACGATGTGGACAAACATCTCCGAGTGCAAAAGCCATTTCTTCAAAGCACTGGTCTACGTTTAAACCACGCGCGAAGTATACCGCAAAACTGCCCGAATCTCACTTCGAGACCACGAAGTCATAGCAAGCACTTCAAACTGCCACTGTCACCGAAGAATGAACCCGCAGACGCGACACAGCGGCTACTGTGCAAGTATGAACATGTGAGCACCCTGCGACAAGCACCATCCTGTGACACGGTTGCGTCGTTTTGCAAAACTTTCCTCTGCCCCTTGTAAATATGTAATGAAACCAGTAAGAATATGTAATAAATATGTAAAATACGATAAAATATGTAATATTAAAATACGCTAATTATAAAACTAACATTTGCTAAAATTAGAAAATTACATTTATAAAAAAATAAAAAAAATAAATAAAAATAATAAAAACTAATCAGTTTTAAAAATCATTTAGAGAGTACAAATAGATGCATGCTTTGTACTATATAACTTTCCCGTCAGTTGAAAACCATCTATTACTACTTTCGTTTAGCAGCCAGCAGATACAATAGAAATCACCCTACAAGCTAGGGGCTATGACCAGCAAACAATCACTGCAGCGTGAAGCATTCTCAGCGAAGTGTTACACGTCGGCGATCGCCAAAGTTACTCAGAAATTACGGTTAAAAATCATGAGACAGGGCGTCAGTAATACTTTTCAAACCTGAAAGTGAAACTGATCTTAGTTAGCGACACGCACTTCCCGCCACTACGATAACTGATGCAGACGAGCGGACTGTGAGAACATCCTACCACGTCATGTAACGAACCTCGAGTAGACAGCACGAAGTAATACTGTAGGAAACACTAATGTTTTTTAAATCCTTATTTTCATAAAAATAATTCCTAAAGTTGAAGAAAATTGATAAAAAAATATTTTGTGAAAATAGCAAAATATGTAATAGAATACTAAATATGCAACGAAAATGGTGATTTTCTGTTAAGACGGCGACAATTCGCCAAACTAAATTTTTAGATCGACAAGATTCGGAGACAAAAGTCAGAGATTCGGAGACAAAGAGCCAGTGAGAAGATTCAGAGAGACAACATTCAGAGACAAGAGTCAGAGACAAGAGTCAGAGACAACATTCGGAGACGAGAGTCAGAGACAACATTCGGAGACAAGAGTCAGAGAGGTTGGGAAAAAAGAGTTAGAGACAAAGTTCAGAGACCGAGATAAGAGTCTGAGATTTAGAGACAAGAGTCAGGGAGAAAATGTATGATCCTATGTTGAAGACTTAGGAAGTAAATTAGCTAAAATAAACCCGATATGGAAATATTTGAATTAGGCTGACATTTAGTCCAAAGCTTTGTTTTGGTTTCCTTTCAAAAATGGTAATACCCTGCATATAATTTATGCACAGCCAGTTGAGAGGTGAAATGTCAAATATCCCAAAACCAGTTATATATCTCACTCCCTACAAGTCATACTTGTCAAAATTTCTTATAAAATCTTTTCTAAAGCTTTTGGGTTACTTATCAAATAGGAAATTCATTGTTAAACCTGCAAATACAGAAAGTTCCTTAAAAGATGTTAAATATGATGTACCACAGGGAAGTCAATTGGGACCAGTTTTATTTATTATCAATGTGAATAGCCTGTTCACAAGAATTAAGAAATGCAAATTTGTTATGTATGCGCATGATGCTGTATTGTTGTATTCTCACAGAAACCGAAAGTTGTGACAAGAAATCGTAGAAAATGATTTCAACGTCCTGCTAAAATGATCACACAATAATAATCTTTTTTTAATCCATGTAAAACTAAATTAATGTACTTCAAAACACCACATATGCAAAATCTAAAAATTGAAGGGACTAGATTTCATGTGCATAAATGATTCATTAATGACCAAACATTACTCTGTAATTGTGTGAGACTAAACTTTAGCACAGAATATAATTATCTCGGTGTAACATTTGACTCACATCTGAAATTTGAAAATCATACTAATATATTATTTGACAAAATTAAAAGAATATTTGGCTGTCTCTGTGCTGCAAAATATTATTTAAATAAAAGAATTATGCTTCTCCTGTACAAAACATTAGTAGAGTCAATACTAAGATATGGTGTTAATAAATGGGAGATGGGGTACTAGCTATAATCAATAATCTGCCTAGAATAACTAATCTGCAATCAAAAATTCTGAAAATGATCACAAATAACAACACAATGGATATCAAACAACTTTGGAAAGACGCTGATACTTTGATCCCTTATGGTTTAAAAATTTTGCTAATTGAGCAAAATTTAAAACAATTTATAAAAAAGGTAAAAATATAATGGTTTTTCTCAACCTTTTTACTTTGTAAATATTCATAAAAGTATTTGAAATGTTAACTACTGTTTTAATTATATTATAGATTAAAACACTTAAAACCCAATATTGCAACTGTTACAAATAGAACTTTTATATTTTTACTTTACATTGAATTATTTAAGGTAAAATATTTCATAAGAATAGATTTTTATGTAATTATATTAGGTAAAATTATAGAATGTCAACATTATGAATTTAAAGAAGAACACACTGTACAATTCTGTAATAATGGACACCTGATGTTAAGTCAGTTTGACTTATCAGGACCCACAACAAATTTGATGGAAAATAAACTATTATTATTATTATTATTATTATTATTATAATTATTTTATTCACAGTATCAACTGGTCAGCATGTCAACCACTCATAGGAATGATGACCAAGTGTGCAGTTTCTTTACTGAAGATTCAAATGGGTTCTAACAATATGGCATGTATTCAAGATGACTGACTTCGGCATATTGTACACAATTCCTGGCATCCAAGTGAAGATACTCCAGTTCCAAGTGTCATTTTCGGGATCACTCCTGTAGCTGATATATTTCAGCACAGTTGTCACTTTACTGAAGTTCCACTGAGTTGCGACTTCATGGGCGAGATCGGTACACTTCTGGATCTTTTTTTTTTTATATTTCCCCGATTTTTTGTGGGTATTGGGTATTGATATATCGATAAGGAAAACCTGATGGTTTCTATCAATGTAAGTTATATCGGGTCTATTGCCACCGACGTGTCTGTCAATGATAATGGAATGATCCCAGTAGAGTGTGTGCTCACTACTTTCAAGCACATTCTGATCTCTGCATGCCAATAATTGGTGGACCAGCTTCGCCACTTCATCATGCCTCTTTTTGTATTCCAATTGTACGTGGTCGCTACATCCTCTTTCACGTGTTGGATAGTTTCGCTAGCAGCCTCACATCTTCCACACGAGTCAGAATGGATGGTAGAATCTCTCAGAATGTGTTTTCTGTAGTTCAATGTTGGTACCACGTGGTCCTGGATAGCTATCATGAAGGCTCGTCTC